ACCCGAACCCGGTGATGGGTAACCGGGTAACGGGTCGGGTACGGGTACGGGTTTTCCTTGGCGGGTCGGGTACGGGTATGTCAAAACCCATACCCGACCCGACCCATTTACATCCCTAATTATGAACCGTCAAACATATATTTTATAAACTATAATAAAAAATAAAGGAATTAAAATATAAAAATAATAAGCTTGTAATTGTTTGTTTATATTAGGGCTGAACACGAGACTTGGAGAATTCTGAACCGTTCCGAAAATCGAACCGAAATCACTTCGACTCGAAAAATAGCCGTTGGTCGTTTGACTTTCTCCGAACCGAGCCGAACCGAAAAAATAATTGGTAGGGTTCTGGAGATTTCACAAATATCCATACCGAGAACCGAACCGAACCGAACCGAATAAATGAAATTAAGAACCGAATTAATAAAAATAGATGTGTGTTATTAATATATTTTATATCAACTTTGATCCTATATAATTTGAGAATTTTTATAATGCAAATAAAATATAGTAATAACAATTAAGTTCCACTTAATTTCATGTTTAGTAATACTTGATATACAATTAAATTTTCTGTTTAAAAAAACAATATCCCTCCCTATATATTAATTCAAAACGTGTTGAGCCTAGGTAGCAGATTCTCACGCTTCGGATACTGACATGGCGAAAATCTATGTTTCGTGATGTTGTTTTTATATTATTTTTGCTCTGGAGTTAGGTTTGATATTAGACATTAATAACTAAATAAATATTTTTTTTAAAAAAAAAATATTCAAACTTTAGATAAAGTTGTGGAATACTAAGTCTTATTCTATCTTATAATTAACATAGCATGGAATGTTAAAGAAATATTATTTTAATAATTTTTTTATTATATTTTGTTTGAATTTTAAATTTTAAATGTTAGTTGCACAAATATGACACACCTAGCCTGGAACAGACCCCTAAGAGCAGGAGAGCAAAGTGAAACTCAACAAACGAAGCGAGCGACCCTTATACTAGTCCTATCGATCTAACAAGAAGAAGGGATGCATCTAACGGGGGAAGAGAAATTTATTTAAAAATAAAATCTTTAGTATGATGAATGTTGGATTTAAAACAAAAAACACATATACAAATTAAAATATAACTAGGTGGTCATTCAAAAAAAATTAAAATACTTAAAAATCTTCGAATATCCGAACCGAACCGTTCCGATATTCCCGATTATCGATCCGAACTGAACCAAAAATAATAATCTCCGAACCGAATCGAATCGAATTTTCGGTTTCGGAGATTTGTCAATTTTCAAACCGTATCTACCCATGCTCACCCCTAATTTATATGGTGCAATATACTAGTATAAAGGCTCTAAGAAAAAAAAAAAAAAAATCGCATATTAAACTTTCAGTTATTCGTATACTGATCAATTTTTAATACCATATCGGGGGTCATACCGGTCTAGTCACCGATGTGCGGTATTACCGGTCGGACAGGTAATATCGATGGTATTACCGGATTAGCAAATATAATTATATATATATATATATATATATAAATATACATAAAAATATATAACACCAAATGCAAAAAACTAAAAAAGAATAAATGACCATAATCATTAATTTCAACTTCTCAATGAGATAAATAAATTATTTTAACTACCAATTTAAATTTTTTAAATTAAAAAAAAAAATGTTTTTCTTTTAATTTTTTTTATTGGACGGTATTTTGCAGTTTTTACAGTATGATCCTGATACAAATCGATATATTCGTAAATCCAGTATTTTGAGTGTAATTGTACCGTACCAATAGCCAGTATCCATTACCGGCTGGTACGGTACGGTATTTAAAACATTGATACTGATGCCCGACCTTCCTACTGCTATTAAAAATTTAAAGTAGAGATTATGTCAGTCTCGTTAAATATTGAGTGACCAATTTCCTACATTTTGTTGCTTTTTCTTATTATTTCTATATATGTTAATGTTGGTCTTTCAGATCTTATTTATGATCATCATACTTTAGTTAAATTGATGGTTCTGTTTCATTTTGAACCGCTAACGTAATCCTAGATAGATCTAATTTTACAGTTTTAATGAGATTAATCCATAAATCAACATAAGGTCACAAAAAATGAAAAACTTTAGCGATTCAAAATGAAATAGAACCATCAATTTAACGCTGTAGAAAACGGAAGTGAAAACGTTCAAAAAGCTATTGTACATCAACTCCCACTCAAGTAAGGTAGTATTCATAGTAGTACCTATATGACCAATATGCTCATAAATTACCTCAAGTGTAAATACCTTATTATACCTTATTTAATGGAGTCATGAATTTTCTAGCATAAATTTATCCTTATATGCTCAATAAAAATCACCAGGATGTAGAGCTAGGGCAGTAGGAGTTGAGTAGGAGTTGCAGTAGGAGTTAAGCTATGGCTCTCGGTTGGCCTGATAAACACTTGACTTGGAGGCAAGTAGGCCGTTGACACGACCTGACAGACAAAGTCCTTACGCGGGAGCTTGAAGTAACCTAGGTCACAGGATGTTGAGCTGGTCGCACTATTAGACCGTCTAATAAGGTAGACTGATGTGAACACACTACTTAAGCGATAAGAATGAATGATAAGATCCACACGCAGATAGGACCACGTGGCTTAACAAAATTGGGCAGTTTGGGCGCCTGAGCAGTAAAAATGGATAGCTTGGGCAATCGAGCAGCCCAACGGGCTGTTTTAGACAACAAGGTAACACCCTTATATAAAGGGGTGAGGTATGATCACACAAACTCTACAAACTATTACATACATACATGTTGTATATTTATTGATCATCGTCTTCATCCACATATTGATTTGATCGTCGAAGTCTCTACGTCGGGACAACTCCTGATGTCATTTTGTAGGACTACTGAACCAGTTGAGAGCAGATCCATGTCGTTCGAGTCCGCTCAAGGTCGTTTTACACACCATTTTGGCATCGTGCGTTGGAACTTCGTTCAAAAAGCCATCTAACCACCATAACCATGGCAAACAGAGAAATTTGGAGCCCACCTTCGACGAGGCTTGGCTCTCAAGATGTCCACTAGAAGCAGGCCCGCCATTGGGATTTTCAAGGTCAAACCATACGTTGGTGGCCTTGATCATTC